GAAACAGCCAGCTGTCTGGGGCAAATGCGCCGCCGTGCCAGCGAAGCACTCTCCGTGGCGACCACTTGGAGCACCGCCCAGAAGCCTGTCACGTGCGGCACCTCTGCATATCTTGATGAGATCGCATGGGGCTTGTTTGGGTCGTCTTTGGAGCTGTCTTGGGCTCCTGGCTCCTGGGGCAGTCTTGGGGGCCTCCTGGGCTGGCGCCCTCTTGGGCCGTCTCGGGGCCATCGTGGGCCGTCTCCGGGACCTCTTGGGCCGTCTTGGTGTTGTCTATTTTGGCCGTCCGGGTGGTCTCTTGGGACCGTGTTGGTGCCGCATTGAGGCCTTTAAGGGCATTATTGGGTCTCTCTGGAGGCCCTCTTAAGCCAGCTTGGGGCAGTCTTCGGCAGTCTAGGTGCTCTATTGAGCTCTTGGGCTTGTCAAGACCGCCAATGAAGCGATCTTCGACCGAAGAGCGTGGAAAGCGAAGAGCCTTGAAAAACGTGGGGGTCATATATGTGTTTGGCCTCTCGAGGCCTACTGTAGAACGGTTTGGGGGTGTCTTGGAACCTCCGGGACGCCTCTTGGGACGTATTGTGCGCTCCTGAGGGATTGGTGGGCGCCTTTTGAAGCAATGTTCGGCCACATTAGCGGCATCGGTGGACTTCCTGGGCTGTCCTGGAAGCTTTTTAAGGAACGAACATTGACATAAACATAAAGACTCGGAGGTCCGCGAGGATTCCTCGGATCGGCGCTCGACCCCCCTCCCTGGCGCGCGGAGCGCGCCGGGGGCGGCGCTGGAGGCGCCGCCGGGGGGCCCCAGCGCCGATCCGAGAAATCCGCGCGGACCTCCGAGTTGTTATGTTTATGTCATTGTTCGTTCCCCTAGCCTTGGAGAGGAGTGGCGCGGGGGCCCGAGAAGACTCGCAGGAACCTTGCAGTGAGCGGCTCGAATAAGGACCACTTACTTTTCAAAAGGGGCTCGGTCGTTCCTTAGGCTTGCATGTGTTGTTTACCGGTCCTCATGCGCTATATATATATATATATATAGGTATCTATATATATATGTGTATATATATATATATATAGATATTCCTCTTCTTATATTTTTACAAGCCCGGGCGGGGGGAGACCCCCCAAAAACCGAACTCCCGGGATCTGGGGCTTTGGGGTCCTCCGGACGGGCCTCGAAGCGGCCCCCCCGGGCCTCGCAGGGCGTTTTGCCAAGCCTTCCCAGCACACCTAGGGCGATCAGGGGGGTCATCGGAGACGTCCCAGAGATCCCCAAGACAGCACAAGAGCGCTCCAAGAGTGACCGACGTGACCTCAAGATGGCCCAAGAGGCCTCCAGGACGGCCCCAAAGAGGCCTCCAAGAGCACTCCCAAAAAAGCCCCAAGAGGCAAAAATCATTAATTTTCTGTTGGTTTTTGATGAATTTTGGAGTTCTCCTCTTTTCGGTTTCCCGACGCTCCAAGACGGCGGTCTTCTGGGCGTCCAAAGCCGCTTGGGAGGCTCCAAAATCGCCCCACAACCATCCGAAAGGGCTTCCAGGCAGTGCCGAAATGTCCCGAGGCCGCCATGGGAACCCTGCCACTGGGACCTTCGGTGGAGCTCCCTATGGGGCCACGATCCTCGTGAGGGGTGTGCCGAAATGGCCCAAGGCCGCCGTGCGAACCCTGCCACTGGGGGCCTTCGGTGGAGCTCCCATGGGCCACGATCCTCGTGAGGGGTGCGCCGAAATGGCCCGAGGACGCCATGCGCACTTTGCTATTGGCGCCTTCGGTGGGGCCCCTATGGGGCCACGATCCTCGTGAGGGGTGTGCCGAAATGGCCCGAGGCCGCCATGCGCACTTTGCTACTGGCGCCTTCGGTGGAGCTCCGATGGGGCCACGATCCTCGTGAGGGGTGTGCCGAAATGGCCCGAGGCCGCCATGCGCACTTTGCTACTGACGCCATCGGTGGAGCTCGTATGGGGCCACGATCCTCGTGAGGGGTGTGCCGAAATAGCCCGAGGCCGCCATGCGCACTTTGATATTCGCGCCTTCGGTGGAGCTCCTATGGGGCCCCGATCCTCGTGAGGGGAGTGCCGAAATGGCCCGAGGCCGCCATGCGCAGTTTGCTATTGGCGCCTTCGGTGGAGCTCCTATAGGGCCACGATCCTCGTCAGGGGTGTGCCGAAATGGCCCGAGGCCGCCGTGCGAACCCTGCCACTGGGGGCCTTCGGTGGAGCTCCCATGGGCCACGATCCTCGTGAGGGATGTGCCGAAATGGCCCGAGGCCGCCATGCGCACTTTGCTATTGGCGCCTTCGGTGGGGCCCCTATGGGGCCACGATCCTCGTGAGGGGTGTGCCGAAATGGCCCGAGGCCGCCATGCGCACTTTGCTACTGACGCCTTCGGTGGAGCTCCTATGGGGCCACGATCCTCGTGAGGGGTGTGCCGAAATGGCCCGAGGCCGCCATGCGCACTTTGCTACTGACGCCTTCGGTGGAGCTCGTATGGGGCCACGATCCTCGTGAGGGGTGTGCCGAAACGGCCCGAGGCCGCCATGCGCATTTTGATATTGGCGCCTTCGGTGGAGCTCCTATAGGGCCCCGATCCTCGTGATGGGAGTGCCGAAATTGCCCGAGGCCGCCATGCGAACCCTGCCACTGGCGCCTTCAGTGAAGCTCCCCATGTGGCCACGATCCTCGCGAGGGGTGTGCCGAAATGGCCCGAAGCCGCCATGCGCACTTTGCTATTGGCGCTTTCGGTGGAGCTCCTACGGGGCCACGATCCTCGTGAGGGGTGTGCCGAAATGGCCCAAAGGCCGCCATGCGCACTTTGTTACTGGCGCCTTCGGTGGAGCTCCTATGGGGCCACGATCCTCGTGAAGGGTGTGCCGAAATGGCCCGAGGCCGCCATGCGCAGTTTGCTATTGGCGCCTTCGGTGGAGCTCCTATAGGGCCACGATCCTCGTCAGGGGTGTGCCGAAATGGCCCGAGGCCGTCATGCGCAGTTTGCTATTGGCGCCTTCGGTGGAGCTCCTATGGGGCCACGATCCTCGTGAGGGGTGTGCCGAAATGGCCCGAGGCCGCCATGCGCATTTCGCTACCGGCGCCTTCGGTGGATCTCCTATGGGGTCACGATCCTCGTGAGGGGTGTGCCGAAATAGCCCGAGGCCGCCATGCGAACCCTGCCACTGGCGCCTTCGGTGGAGCTCGTATGGGGCCACGATCCTCGTGAGGGGTGTGCCGATATGGCCCGAGGCCGCCATGGGAACCCTGCCACTGGGACCTTCGGTGGAGCGCCCTATGGGGCCACGATCCTCGTGAGGGGTGTGCCGAAATGGCCCGAGACCGCCATGCGCACTTTGCTAGTGGCGCCTTCGGTGGAGCTCCCTATGGGGCCACGATCCTCGTGAGGGTGATGATGATGATGATGATGATGACGACGATGATGATGAGAATAATGATGATGCGAGGAGGAGGGAGGGGGCAGCGGGAGGAGGAAGGAACGCGGGGCGCTGTCTCTTCAAAACGAGGCCCCAACACCACAGGATGGTTGGGGAAAAAGAGCTGAGGAGGATTGGGAGAATGCACAAGGTATGGCGAAAATAAGGAAAAAGAAGCGTGGAGGAAGGATAACGAATGACATCATTATAGCGGCGATGCCGGAAAAGGCAACAAGGAATTATCGCTAAATTGTCGGCTTGACCTTCGTGCTATTCCGCCTGCACACCAAACTTCAAGGACCAAGGTGCATGGCGCGAAGCGCTATTGCAGTCCTGTATATATATATATATATATATGTGTACTTGTGTTTATATATATATACAAATATGTATGTATCGCTCCTTGTGCGTTATCCACTGGAAAAAAGGGGCTTCGTTCCTTACTGATCGTTCCTTAGGTCGGGCCGATGGTCGCACCGCCCTGCCGGCCGCCCGCCACGCCTCGGCGTGCCCGGCGGGGGGGGTGATCGGCGTGCCGGGCGGGGGGGGGGGAGGGGGCACGGCGGCGGGCCGACGAGCGCACGCGTCGCACGGAAGTCTCCTCCTCCTCCTCTCCTCCTCCTCCTCCTCCTCTCCTCCTTCTCCTCTTCCTCCTCCCCCTCCCCCTCCTCCTCCTCCTCCTCCTCCTCCTCCTCCTCCTCCTCCGCCCGCCGCTCCCCTCTCCTCCTCCTCCTCCTCCTCCTCCTCCTCCTCCTCCTCGTCCTCCTCCTCCTCCTCCTCCTCCTCCTTCTCCTCCTCCTCTCCTCCCCCCGCCCCCCCGATGTCGCCATCGGTCGAGAATTGCGGAGGACGATTCACGGGGAGGAAGCATGTTGCCAAATAATTGCCAGATGTCTAAACAAGTGTTTCAGGCATGTCATGAGTATGTTAAAACATGATTGAAACATGTTTGGAACATGTTTTACACGTTTTAAACACATGTTTAATTCAGCGATAGGATTGTTAGAGTGTCCATTGTCATGGCATCCGCAAGTCAAGATCCGCGGCGTGTGGTGACCTGCGTTTACTCCTTGTTTTGCCGATCGGCGCGGGCCACCCCCTCCCTCCCCCCCTCCCCAATGGGGTGGATCTTGGCTGTTTTGGGGGCGCCTGTTTCGAGCAGGTGGAGCCTTCCCCGTACGCACTGCCGCAAACAGTCGCATTCGGCAGAGGTCTGGAGCCAGACCACCCCCTCCCCCCCCCCTTCCTCCCAATGTCGAAACGCCGAATGAAAAAAACGATCACGTGCATGTCTGGAGGACGGGGAGGTTCCCCAACAGTCGGAACTAGATTAACCCCATAGACGAGACCTGCCGCTCCGGTCGGCCCGGCCGCATGCTTCATGATTGCTCGAAGGCGGACTTGACAAAATGGGAAAGGCCGATGGTCATCCGTCATCCCAGCGTACCCATCGGGCCCCCCACAATCATCACCGCGCGGCTTCCCCCATCGTCTCCTCTTCCCATCGGTTCCATGTGCTCCTGCTGCCCACTTGTTTCTCTCGAAAGGTTGTCGCCCGGCAGCTCGCCGCAGGTCTTGCCTTCAAATGGCGGGAATCATGAAGCGGCTCACGGGGGCGGGCTTCTCCACGGGGGTGCTCCGCGGCGACGGGGCCAAGGGGTGCGTGGGGACCGCATTGGCTGAGAATGCTTGGTGGACTAGCAGGGATGATGTGGACGCACAAAACGGGTTGCTTAGGTCTGAGCCAGGAGGGCAGGGAGGGAGGAGCAGGCGGAGAAGGAGGATAAGGAAAAGTGAGAAGGAGAACCAGGAGGAGTAGGGGGAGAGCGAGGACGACTACAGCGGACGAGGATGAGAAGAACGGGATGGAGGAGAATGGGGATGCGGGCGAGCGAGAGGGAGAAGCCAACGGAGGACGAGGACGAAAAGGAGGAGCGCGCCGAGCAGGAGCAAGAGCCTCCTCGACTTATTCCTCCTTTCCCTACTCCTCCACCACCACCTCTTCCTCCCCCCCACACACCTCTACAATTACTCAATATGAATACTACTCTCCCTCTTCCCCTGATGACGGCCTGGGAGTGTCCGACCCCCCCCCCCCGCGTATTGTTTTTTACACAAAGGTTTCCCCGGAGTTGGGTTTTCGCTTGCATGTTTTCCAAAATGCTGCTCTCGCTGAGGCGCCTGCCTCATTTTCGAGCCCCGCTCGTTCCGAATCGTGCTCCCGCTGCAGCGCTGGCCTCATTTCCGTGCTTCTGCTCGTTCCGAATCGTGCTCCCACTGCAGCGCTGGCCTCATTTCCGCGCTTCCGCTCGTTTCGACTCGTGCTCCCGCTGCAGCGCTGGCGTCATTTCCCGTGCCATGCCACGGCGTGCAATGCAATGCTAGGTTGATACTACGCTTTGCGGTGCTCTTCTACGCCATGCCATGCCGTGCTCTACAATGCATCGCGTACCCTTTCGGGATCATTGCCCTGCTCGACATCCGACTGTGCGAGTAGAGAGGGGATCTGCGCCATGGTAAGGGATGGGAGGGAGGGGTAGGATGTCAGATATGACGCGAGCGCACCTAGCTTGTCCTCCCCCCCTCCCCATCCTCCTTCTCCCTGCCTCCTCCTCTTCTCGGACCCGCAGTGTCCGGACCAAAGGCAAGCGACAATGTGTGGTTTCGAAGTGCTGGCAGTCAATGTCCCCGATGTCCGTGTTCTCACGCACATTAGCACGTGTAGTTGGGAAATGGTTTACCGGAGGTTGATAGAGCTCCTAGCCTGACACGTCGATCAGCGAATTGGCCGTTTTCGGTTCGCGAGAGGGCGTCGCGGCCGTCATTTTTGCGGGTCCAGATCCGTCGGTTTCGGTTCTAGGCCGTTTTCATTAAAGGGGGGGTTCCTCAAGGGAGGTGTGTCCACCGCCGAGTTTAGCTTGGACGCTGATTTAGGTTTAAATCGGGCCTGTCCCTCTACAGGGGGAAAATTCAATAATAGTCAAAAGTTAGTCTGGGGACTATTTTTTAAGTATGTTTGGGCATCCTTCGAATATGTTTGGAGTACTTTTTATTGTTCGTTGAAAATTCCCCTGTAGGGGGACACGCCCGACTTAAATTTAGGTTGGCTGGTTGGACGGTGGGGCTGGCAGGGCTCGCCGGCGGGGTGTTCGCCGTGTCCGTTGTGCAGACAGCCTCTGGCCAAGGCCAGGAGGCGCTCGGACGTGTGCATTTTTTTTCGGCGAGAACCATCGAGGACCATCCTGGACCATCGAGCAAAAAAAAGCACGCACGAAACAGAAAAATGCACGGGAAATGGACGTCCGAGCGACGGCAAGCGGTTGCTTTCGAAAGCCAGACTTCGGTTTTCGGCTGCCCTCGCGTCCTCAGCAGTGACCCGCTGAAGCATGCCCGCACCAGCAAGTCAAGGAAAACTCGAGCGGTCTTTAGTCGACGCGGGCGATTTAGCATGCCAGGTGTCCGCGGCTTCAGAAGCATCATCTGGCGATGTCAGGGCAGCTCTGGCGCGCGGCAGCTCAGGCGCCCGACCAGAGATTTCAAGACGTGTGAGCCTGTCTGCGCTTCACGTTTCCATTACGTATATGATTCTCAATGTTGGTGTACAGTTGGGGCGCTGAAGAAGGAACCTTTTCCGTTGGAGAGGGGCTCGGTGTTCCTGGATTGTTGTGCAGTTTGCCTTGGGGGGTCCTCAGGTTTTCCATGGGAAATCGAAGTTCAACGTTTGGGGAAAAGGGGCCTCGTTCCCTATTTAGGGTTCCTTAGGTCAACGCCCCGACTGTATATGATTCTCAATGTTGGTGTAGGGTGATGGCCTGGGATGCCCAGCTGCTTGCGGCGAGAGTTGCGCCACCGTGCCAGCCCAGCATTCTGGGTGGCAAGTCTTCGCGGAGCGCCTCTGGGTAGCATTCTGGGCAGCCCTAACATGTGACGCCTCGTGCCCCGAGGCTCGGGAGAGCTAAAACACTTGTGGCATGATCTTCCCTTGGCATCGCTTGGACGTGTGCACGTTTCCTTCGGCGAGGACCATCGAGGAGCATCCTTGATCATTTGGCGAAAAAACCACGCACGAAAGCGAAAAAAACACAGGGAATGGACGTCCGAGCGATGAGGAGTTCCGCGTTGTTCCCCAATCAGTGCTTGCACTGAAAAAAAAATCCCGGCGGACTGCAAAGGAGTTGGCGAAAGTTGACGGTCGCTTTCGGTGGGCCACTGGGTTCCCGGGTTTACGGTTCCGGGTTCCCGGGCTCCGCGTTCCCAGGTTCCCGGTTCCAGGTTCTTGGTTCCCGGGTTCCAGGTTCCGCGTCCTTGATTGCGGGGTTCACGATTCGATCGCGTTCAATCGATAACACGCAATTGACGTTAGTCAATCGATCTCACTCAACTGATCTCACCCAATCGAATTCCTGACCGATCTCATTCAATCGATCTCACGATCGATTTTTCAAACCATCTATTGATTGGGGTTTTTTCTCTGGTGTAATCCTCTCTTGGAGCATATTGAGGGCATCTTGATGGCGCCTTGGGGCCCTCCCGGGGCCTCTGGAGGGCTCCTTGGGCGCCTTAGGGCACCGCGTTTGGGCAGTATGGGGCCTCTTTGTGCAGTCTTGGGGCCCTCTTGGTGCCCTGAATCTCTTCCTCCTCCTCCTCCTCCTCCTCCTCCTCCTCCTCCTCCTCCTCCTCTTCCTCTTCCTCTTCCTCCTCCTCATCCCTCTCCCACTCCGCTTCCTCCTCCTCCTCCTCCTCATCCTCCTCATCCCTGAAGAGTCGTCTTGGAGGCCTATTGGCCGTCTTGGGGCCTCCTTGGGCCGTCTTCGGGCCGTATTGGAGTCGAAGAAGGAAAAAGCGGCAGAAACATAAACTTTCGACGGTACGCGTGGATTGGATTTGCGCTGGAGCGCCCTGGCGGCGCCTCTGGCGCCGCCCCTGGCGCGCTCCGCGCGCCAGGGAGGGGGTCCAGCGCACATCCAAGAAATCCGCACGGACCGTCGAAAGTTTATGTGTATGTCGTTGTTTCTTCTTCTAGGGAGGCTTCTTGGGCCATCTTGAGAGCCTCTTGGCCTGTCTTTGCGTAATATACTGGAAGCCCGCATCAGGGGGCACACAGGTTTCCTGGGGTGTTGCGGGTCGGATTGACGATGCTCTCGGACTTGTTCGTCCGCGGGACGGGACTTGAAAGGGGGCGGAGTTCGACCCCGCCATAGATTGCATAGACGGTACTTGGCTTATCCTGGTCGAACAATGTTTGATAATACGCCAGGAAGCCAGTAAGTCCCGTCCCGTCCCAGCAGCGCGTCTTCGCTGGGAGACTAAGGCAGGTGTGGGGCATTCACCATCATGACCCATACGACGAGCTTGGTCATCCACATGAAGATAATCATAACGGTCATGGACACCACCACGGTTATCATCCTTGTGTCCATCGTTGTGACCATACCAGTAACAATGACAGTCGACAGTCTCTGACCTGGACGCGATGGTGACAGCCATGGCGGACACGGGCTATCCAGTTAGTATGGTTCAAATGCCAGACACATGCACGCGGGTCACCTACCGCGCGATTGGTCCGTTCTGCCCCGCGCGACGTTGCTTTAAAATCTAATGCGATTCATGCATCCCCACCGCAACATTAGGTCGTCGTGGGTTGACGGAAGCCCGAAAAGGCGAGAACGCGAAAATGATTCAGCTAAGCGAGGAAGGTTGATGGTTTGACCTCTTCGGTCCCTTCTGAAGTGAGCCCTTCTGGGCCGTATGAGGAGCCTCTTGGGCCGTTTTGGGGCAACACGTGTTACACTCGAATTTCTCTATTCAACTTGAGCTCGAGAACCCCTCAAAATCCGAAGAGATCGCAGAAATAGCCCGTGTGGTCTTGGGTGCAGTCCGAGGCGGACAACGAGAGCAACAGTTACGATGAGACGATGCCATGGGTACGAGGAGGAGGAGGAGGAAGAGGAGTACGAGGAGGAGGAGGAGGAGGAGGAGGAGGAGTACGAGGAGGAGAAGGAAGCGGAGGAGGAGTACGAAGAAGAGGAGGAGGAGGAGTACGATGTCATAAGTACGAGGAGGAGGAGGAGGATGAGGAGGAGGAGGAGGAGGAGGAGTACGATGCCATGAGTACGAGGAGGAGGAGGAGGCGCAAACGAACACATCACATAACTTGCAGAGTTCTCGTGCCTGAGCGCCTGCTCCACGGAAGTTCCCCGCCTCGCACTTCCTGGCCGGTCCGCAGGCGCAGCCGGCGACCGAGGTGGTGGTGGACGCGCCCGTGTTCACTGGCGCGCTGGAGCCTCCGGCGCCGCCCCAGTTGGGGCCGCTCTCCTCTGCTCCCAGCGGTTTCGACGCTTGTCGGCATCGTTTCACCGATCCCCATCCCCATCCCCATCCCCTTCGAGGCCCCCACCCAATGACCACCCCAGTTGGGGGAAGGACGCCCCTGGAAGCCCGAAGGGAGCGGCAGCTGTTCCCATCCAGGGAGTAAATCGGCCAGCTGGGGCAGCTCTCCTCTGCTCCCACCGGTTTCGATGCTTGCAGGAGGTCAGAGTGGGCCGGTGGCAACGATAAGGGGGGGGGGATAGGCCTAGGGGGGGATGCATCGACCCCCAATCGCCCATTGATCGCCGATAGGGGCCCGATAGCCCCAACCTGCCCAGGAAGGTGCGGATTCACTATCGGGAGCCTATCGCCGATCTATCGGCAATGTATCGCCGATTCCAGGTCGATGCATCCCCCCCTATGCCAGTCCCCCCCTATCATTGTCCCTCACAGTGTGGGGGGGACCGAACGGTCTTATTTTCTCCCTGCGCGCGCATGACTGGATGAAGGGCTGGGCCGTTGGGGCTACAGTCGGGGCGCTGAATAGGGCCCATTTTCTTTCCGGAAGGGGCTCGGCCGTTCCTTGGGTTTGCATGCGTTCCGCTCCTTCTTGGGCGGCGAGCCCCCCTGGCGCTCCTGGGAGAAGAGGGGCCTCGTTCCTTACTCATCGTTCCACAGGTCCACGCCCTGACTGTACACACGGGGGCTGCCTCTGGAGGCTACACCACGCGGCGACACGCGGGGGCTGCCCGGGGGAGCTACCCACGCGGAGGCCATACCCACGGGGGCCACACATTGGGGGGTCCGCACGTGGGGGGGCTGCGCACGGGGGCGGCGCACGGGGGCGGCGCACGGAGGCTACACTTGAGGGCGGTTCGCCCGCGCCTCCACGCCCTCACTTCAGGAGGGAAAAAAACACACAGACACAATTAATCGTCGACTCCCAGGAAAATATGCAAAAATATGGGAAGTGGGAGGGGAAGACGAGAATCAAAAAAATATGGAATGATATGGGGGATCCTTCTATTTGTGTGTATTTATTTGTGTGTCTCAGGGCCCGGGAACGAACAATGAGATAAACATAAGACCTCGGTGGTCCGGCCAGATTTCTCGGATCGGCGCTGGAGACCCCTGGCGGCGCCCTCGGCGCCGCCCCTGGCGCGCTCAGAGGGGGTCCAGCGCGGATCTGAGAAATCCGCGCGGACCTCAGAGTTTTTGTGCTTATGTCATTGTTCGTTTCCCCACTCTCCGCACGTGCGGGGTGCTGGCTACGTTTGCCTTTGGGAAGTCGAGCCTGGCCGACGAAGGCTGGGCTGGCCGGCGAAGTGCCGGACGGCCCGTGCTACGCCTGCACCAGAGGCTCTGCGAAAGCAGGCCCGACGAGTGGCGAACAGGTGCTGGACTGAGGAGGAGGAGGAGGAGGAGGAGGAGGAAGAGGAGGGGGAGGAGGACGAGGAGGAGAACGAGGAGGAGGAGGACGAGGAGGAGGACGAGGAGGACGAGTGGCGAACAGGTGCTGGATGAGAGCGAGGGACCACCCACGAGGATATCAGCAGGATGCTGGATGCACCACCCACTCGCCCTCGAGACCTGGCGGGTGAAGGAGCAGCGACTGCCCAGTGCGGTACTCCATGGCGCTCCGCGGCGATGTTTCAGGAATCCTGGCGGGACCCAGAGACCAGAGTTAAGTCGGGAATGTCCATCTACAGGGGGAAAATTCAAAAATAGTCAAAAAATAGTCTGGGGACTATTTTTGAGTAGTTGGGGCATCTTTTGATTATTTATGGGGCATGTCTTATTTTTCGTCCAAGATCCCCTTGTAGGGGGACAGGCCCGACTTAAGACCAGAGGGACAGAGAGCTAAAAGCATAGACCGGCGTAGGGCCCCTCAACAGCAATCAGCGGCACCGTGACGGGTACTCACAAACCGGTGCTTTGGAGATTTGCCGAGAGTTGCCACTTATGGGCCTCGTTTTGGCATTGCAGCGTTGCCCACGTCGGGGAGGGTTGGGTTCGTCGGGTCACTGGCCAGAGTACCCGTTAGTGGAGTTCCCGTTAGAGGGTAGCTGAAAAAACGTTGCATGAGAAGATTGTGATCGTTTTTGTTATTGCCCATATCCTAAGATGGGGTTACTCGGACGCCTCCTACTCCTCATTCCTCTTCTTCTCCTCCTCCTCCTCACCCTCCTCCTCATACCTAGACTTACTCATACACAGACTTACTCATACACACATACTCGTATTTAGACCTGATCATATTAACATAATCATATTAAGACCTACTCATACTCAGGCCTACTCATACTCAGACTTACTCCTGCTGAGAGTCACTCATACCCAGACTTACTCATACTCAGACCTTCTCATTGTCTGACTCATTCAACACACAGCAGATTGTGAGGACGTCTCAGGCGGGGCGCTGGCTTCAGCATTTCAGCACCCCTAAGGGGAGCCGCCAAGGGGTATGACACGGTCCCGTTCGCGGCCGTTTTGCGGGGATGTCTCAAGCGGTTTGTTTGTTTTCTGTCTCAACATCCTTCGCTTGGAGAGCAGATTGTGAGGATGTCTCAGGCGGGGCGCTGGTTTCAGCACCCTTAAGGGGAGCCGCCGAGGGTTATTGCACGGTCCCGTTCGCGGCCGTTTTGCGTGGATGTCTCAAGCGGTTTGCTTGTTTTCTGTCTCAACATCTTTCGCTTGGAGAGCAGAGTTGGAAGATGTCTCGAGCGAGGCGCTCATTTTCACCTCCCAGGTGGGCCACATGTTGAGGATGTCTCGATCGGTTTGCTTGTGTTGGTGGCCAGATTCGTGGGCACAGATTTTCCCCAGGATGCCACAGGAGGCTCCAACAGGCCCCAGGAGGCCACATGAGGTCCCAGGAGGCATCAGGACGCCACATAAAGATTCAAGAGGCCACAGGATGTCCCAAGAGGCTCCAGCAGGCCCCAGGAAGCTCCAGGAGGCTTCAGGAAGCCACAGGAGGCCACAGGAAGCGCCAGGAGGCTTCGGAAGGCAACAGGAAGCCCCGAGAGGCCCCAGGAACAGGAGGCCTCAGAAGGCAACAGGAGCGGCTCCAATCCCACGTGTTTTATGTATGCTCCTATAGATGGGGCCTCACCTGGAGCACGAGTCCTTGATGTTATACGTATGTTTCTATATATTGTCCTTCTCCTGTGTACACAATCCTAAATGGTTTTATGTATGTTCCTACAGATTGGGCCTCTCCTGGGGCACGAGTCCTTGGTGTTTTACGTGTGTTCCTATATATTGTCATGCCCTTGCGGCTCCAATCCGCAATGTACGTCTGTGCCTATAGATTGGGCCTCTCCTGGGGCGCGAATCCTCCCTGGGAGGTCCCAGGAGGCCCCAGGAGGCCCCTGGGGCTCCTGGAGGCCCCAGGAAGCCCCAGT